GCTCTTTTCTGTCAAAAATGAATGTAAAAAAGAGGGGTTGGTGGTAGTATAGGTTCAGTATCAAAACCACCAGTTGCATAAGGACTTAACCTTAATACCTTAGTCAGAATCTTACAAGCATCTTTTCAACAAAAATCATTAGTTAGTTTTTATTTGTATCTTTATTGTAAAATTATGATCATTTTTCTGCAATAGGTCATTGTCGGATGAAAATTTGGCAAAACAACTGTCCGGTGAGACCTTAATGACCCATGTCATTTTTTCAGTCTTGTCAAATTTGATTAACTATGCCATAAATCATTTCCTTATTACCTCCATGTCTTGAATCTGACAGAGTAAGGTATTTCAAAACAAACACTTCCTATAGGTTAGCCTATAAGTACATGCTAGTAGAGAAGGGAGCTAACTTAGCACTGTCAGAGTTAACAGCTGATCCAATTTTCTAATGAACAACAAAGACCTAATAAGTTTGATACAATGTGGTTTAATGAAGTAATTCACTTACTTATTCATTTTTCAATATTTATAATACATGTTTTCTACATTTCTTATAATTTAAATGCTAATTGCCTTATTATTATGAATTTACATTCCTATATGTTCATGATGTAACATTTCGACACATACATTTCATTTATTTACAGACATATTCAGTTATAATGGCCTAAAAATACACTACCCATTTAACACCTGCTGAAAAGCAGCAATTTCATGACATTTTAAGTAAGAAAACTGCAAAAGTGGACACATGTACAATTTGGCTGGTAGCTAAAACATCAGCTAGATATGCAATGATCTGTACACATTTCAGAGGGAAGAGAATAAAACGTCTAGCACATTGTTTACTGTTTTTCTTACACCATCTTAATGTGACAATGTCAAAAATTATACACATGTTGCATATATATCACAATAAATCATGCAGATAAATTTTGCATTTATCTTTGGAAACTGCATCAATTAGTAATAAGCGACAAATTTGTCGCAACATGGTTTAGTGTACAGAACATTATGCCTGTCCAACGTGCTTATTGTAAGGTAGTAATTACAAATTATTTGCAGTTTTTCCATTTTACAGTTTGTTTTCATTTCTTCTAGGCCTCAAGGTGTTTGGTAGCACACTTGGTGAAGAGACATTGAAAGCCAGGCTGACAGCAAAGGTTTCATCAGGAGTCCGCCACATCAGATGTTGTGGGGCTTTCACAGGAACAGGTGAATCTGAATCAACTTCATTGGAATTTTGGTAACTTTCAAGAACTGTATGACCCTTTCTAAACTGTGTTTATCTTCTCTCCTGATTTCTTTTGCATGATTTTCTTTTTACTTTATGGTTAAGTGTAGGCATGTTACAATCACTTGGAAAATAAACTTGTCCGCAGCATCTTCAGCAACAATATAAGCTGGCCAGTATGAAAATGACCCAAAGGTGACCTTAGAGGTGTGAAACTACATTTTCCATACATAATGTCTACTCAGCAGATGTGCTGAGTCTGGGTATAGAATTTCACTGTTGACGTTTCCTAAATGAATTGGTTCTGTTTACAAACTTTGGCCAGTCACTTTTGGGTTAGCTGAGGAGTTTCCTCCCTTATACATTCACTTCTGATTTCTCTTTTTTAACACAGATATGACCTTCTTTATTAAATCAGGGATGGAATACTGGTCAGTTCATATATGCTGTGCATCATTATTATTCTTTCAAGTACTTAGCATGTACATTCTGCAGCTATTTTACAAGAGATTCAGCTTGGCTTCCTTTGCAGGTTTTATTTACTACAATTTCAGATTTCATGAAGAGTTGCATTATTTGTGCTGTCAGATGTCTTTGATATCACTTGGCACTAATAATACAGGTTGTATTGGTTATGAAAAATGATGAAACTGACATGTTATAAGGAAATGGTATGTTTCAGTGGGGAAAGTAATAGATGAAGTTTGAAGCTGTTGTCATAGTGGTTGCTCTGTTTGATGGCTTTTGCTCATCGATTAAAGCAATAAGCAAAAGGAAACAAGCAAGCTTGAATTTTACACATGTAAAGGCTACATTTTATTTAAAATTGCCTAATGCTTTGAAAATAAGAAGATTTTCCCTTAATCAGACTACTATTTAAATTATTAATGACCCATGTCATTTCTTCAGTCTTGTCAAATTTGATTAACTATGCCATAAATCATTTCCTTATTACCTCCATGTCTTGAATCTGACAGAGTAAGGTATTTCAAAACAAACACTTCCAATAGGTTTGCCTATAAGTACATGCTGGTAGAGAAGGGAGCTAACTTAGCACTGTCAGAGTTAACAGCTGATCCAATTTTCTAATGAACAACAAAGACCTAATAAGTTTGATACAATGTGGTTTAATGAAGTAATTCACTTACTTATTCATTTTTCAATATTTATAATACATGTTTTCTACATTTCTTATAATTTAAATGCTAATTGCCTTAATATTATGAATTTACATTCCTATATGTTAGTGATGTATTATTTCGACACATACATTTCATTTATTTACAGACATATTCAGATATAATGGCCTAAAAATACACTACCCATTTAACACCTGCTGAAAAGCAGCAATTTCATGACATTTTAAGTAAGAAAACTGCAAAAGTGGACACATGTACAATTTGGCTGGGAGCTAAAACATCAGCTAGATATGCAATGATCTGTACACGTTTCAGAGAGAAGAAGATAAAACTTCTAGCACATTGTTTACTGTTTTACTTACACCATCCTAATGTGACAATGTCAAAAAATATACACATGTTGCATATATGTCACAATAAATCATGCAGATAAATTTTGCATTTATCTTTGGAAACTGCATCAATTAGTAATAAGCGACAAATTTGTCGCAACATGGTTTAGTGTACAGAACATTATGCCTGTCCAACGTGCTTATTGTAAGGTAGTAATTACAAATTATTTGCAGTTTTTCCATTTTACAGTTTGTTTTCATTTCTTCTAGGCCTCAAGGTGTTTGGTAGCACACTTGGTGAAGAGACATTGAAAGCCAGGCTGACAGCAAAGGTTTCATCAGGAGTCAGCCACATCAGATGTTGTGGGGCTTTCACAGGAACAGGTGAATCTGAATCAACTTCATTAGAATTTTGGTAACTTTCAAGAACTGTATGACCCTTTCTAAACTGTGTTTGTCTTCTATCCTGATTTCTTTTGCATGATTTTCTTTTTACTTTATGGTTAAGTGTAGGCATGTTACAATGACCACTTGGAAAATAAACTTGTCCGCAGCATCTTCAGCAACAATATAAGCTGGCCAGTATGAAAATGACCCAAAGGTGACCTTAGAGGTGTGAAACTACATTTTCCATACATAATGTCTACTCAGCAGATGTGCTGAGTCTGGGTATAGAATTTCACTGTTGAAGTTTCCTAAATGAATTGGTTCTGTTTACAAACTTTGGTCAGTCACATTTGGATTAGCTGAGGAGTTTCCTCCCTTATACATTCACTTCTGATTTCTCTTTTTTAACACAGATATGACCTTTATTAAATCAGGGAGAGAATACTGGTCAGTTCATATATGCTGTGCATCATTATTATTCTTTCAAGTACTTAGCATGTACATTCTGCAGCTATTTTACAAGAGATTCAGCTTGGCTTCCTTTGCAGGTTTTATTTACTACAATTTCAGATTTCATGAAGAGTTGCATTATTTGTGCTGTCAGATGTCTTTGATATCACTTGGCACTAATAATACAGGTTGTATTGGTTATGAAAAATGATAAAACTGACATGTTATAAGGAAATGGTATGTTTCAGTGGGGAAAGTAATAGATGAAGTTTGAAGCTGTTGTCATAGTGGTTGCTCTGTTTGATGGCTTTTGCTCATCGATTAAAGCAATAAGCAAAAGGAAACAAGCAAGCTTGAATTTTACACATGTAAAGGTTACATTTTATTTAAAATTGCCTAATGTTTTGAAAATAAGAAGATTTTCCCTTAATCAGACTGCTATTTAAATTATTAAGGTCTCACTGGATAGTTTCGTATTTTGACACCCCCTAATTTTTAAGGTAGAAGGCATGAGCCTGATTATCACAACCCTAGCATTTATAAACTCACACATAAGCTAAATCTGTAATGTGGTTTACATTTACTTTGAGTTAGGCTTGTAAATGGGTTGCCTTGTTGGTGACTGCCTGTCCCAGTTAGACCAGCACTGGAGATCAAATGCGTAACTTAGTCTGCAAATGTGCATCCGACTTGGCTTACGTATTTACATGTGTCTGCTTCAGAGGTAAATATCTAAAAATCTACATGGTTGAGGGGTGATGAAAAGTATGTTAATTTGTTATAGTACTAGTGAACTTTCAAGATCAATAAGGTACATACTGACTCTGTGAGCCTGCTTCTCACAGGAACAGGTTGAAAATAGCTCTTTTCTGTCAAAAATGAATGTAAAAAAGGGGGGTTGGTGGTAGTATAAGTTCAGTATCAAAACCACCAGTTGCATAAGGAATTAACCTTAATACCTTAGTCAGAATCTTACAAGCATACTTTCAACAAAAATCATTAGTTAGTTTTTATTTGTATCTTTATTGTAAAATTATGATTATTTTTCTGCAATAGGTCATTGTCGGATGAAAATTTGGCAAAACAACTGTCCGGTGAGACCTATAGCGGAGAGCAACACAGGAGAAAATGAATCAGGGGACCAGACTAGTAACTTTGTTAAATTTACGTTAGAAGGCCGAATCCGTACCAGATTAGAATCTCGTTAGAGACCATATCGCTACCTCCTTCTTAAATTTTCCTTGCTTCCTATAGATACCACATGTGTTAAACCTGCGGACATATTAACATTACAATTCCCGTTAAGGTCAAATAGAACCATAATGGTACGATGTTACATTCCAGCCAGACGTGCACATCACGCTAAAGTTTCAAAATTACCGTCAGACAGGTTCATAATATTAAATCACTTGACTTATTAAAATAGAACTTTGAGTTATCCTATAAATTCCCAAAACAAACGATCCGGTGGCCTAGTGGTTAGAGCAACCATCTCGAAAGCGGGAGGTCGTGTGTTCAATCCCTGGCCGAGTCATGCCATTAAAAGTTAGTGTTAAGCCTGGTCGACCTGGTGTCAGGATAGTGTGATTGGGTAGGACATCAAGCTACATATCTGCGCCATGATCCCTTACTGCTAGACATCACTATAAACTACCACGCTGAAGACATCGTAGCAATATGACTGAAAATTTTTTACATTTACTTTAAAATCTAAATCACATGCACACATATATTCCCAAATGAAAATTTCAATTCACATTGTCCTCCCTTGTGCTGTTTTGTAATGGAGGTCAAATTTTGAAGTCCAGCTGTCACCGATGTGCCATTCCAATCTTAAATTTCCCTTCTTCCATAGAGTGTCATTCTCTTGTTGAATTCCAGTTAGATGCCAGAGTGTTGTCATCTCCATTTTAAATTCCATTTAGACGGTAGCGTCATTTTTGAGGCGAAGAATTATAGCCTCAATTTTGAATTCTAGTTTGAGGCCATACTGACATATTTTAGACCAATACAAATTTAAGAGCTTTGTCAATCAATCATCTAATTGTATCCCTTTCTAAACTTTCTATATATATATATATATATATATATATATATATATATATATATATATATATATATATATATATATATATATATATATATCGTGTTTACATGGTTAAAGTAAGCAATCATTTAAAAATGTGTCGGAATTAAGACATTAGGAAAAATCGTCTGGTGTCTTCAATTAAATATTAAACATTTTTAAACACATTACACCTGATATCACTAAGTGAGACGAACTGAAGTACCAGATCAATCGTTCCAGGTAAATGTAGGTAATTAACATATAGAGGTTATATCCTGCTTTGACGTACAAAAGGATGCGCTTTAAAAAGCAAATAACGGGATGTAGTTTCTGTTTATTCTCCACAATTACATAATCATGACTGAATTACAGTGTTTGTGAAAAAGCCACTATTCTTAGGTCACTACATTTATTTATAATTATTGCATGGAGAATAGAATATTTCTTTCCCATGTGCTAACAGTAGATGGCAGATTACGTGATTCGCACTGTGTATTACGCGCGTTCTAATGCAGAATTTAGTTAACCAGGTGTCAGGCTACGGTATGTTTCATTCACGCACCTCGGGAAGATCTTCACTATTTCTGTGGAGACAGTCTGCACCGTGTGACGTATAGATAAACTGTTGGTAAGACTGTAAAATAATTTAGTGTGCCAGTCAAATATTTAAACAGTTTTAAGACCCGTGTCTGTTGTGACATAACACCTTACCATTTAGTGTTTTTATTATCGTCTCTGTTCAACAAGACCCATACATATAATATTGGTATTCGTTGCTTATAACAGAATTTTTGAACCATCAATACGCGGATTAAAAAGGTATGTGACACTTTTTACAGCCATATTTGTTCACTTTCTGTTAACAGCATGAAGTACCTGGATATAGGTTACAAATGTAATATTCATTGTTATGTTGAGCCTAACTGACCTCTGCTAAGGGTAATATATCGTCCCATATGTAGACACTGTAATTCGAGATACCTTGCAACATACACCGTGAATATTCTTATTATATCGTTTCTCATTGAAACTTATGCAATTTTGTTCCAAGACACGGACTAAAATGTATATTGGTCACAAATAAGTTCTTCTCTCATCACTTTTTAAAAAAAATATTTTCAAATTTGACTGGTTGTCGTCGTTGACTGATGAAGGATGTTAGAAATTTTAAAGTGGCAGGAAACGGCTTGTTGATTTAACAACTGCGTGCACACGTGTCGGTGTTTTATTTGCCATTCATTTATCTTTTTTCATCTCATTTAAATATTTTAACATTTAAAAAATGTAATGATAGTTTATATTATCTACCCTTCTTGTACATGTTTTTCTACTTTCATTATCATTTTTAATTTCTGATAAAATAAGACACACATGTTTAAAATGGCTGCAGTGTTTATAAAGAAGAGTAAACACAAATTAGAGATCCGACATCTATGTCCTGGGGAGAGGAGTGTTATAATATGAACATAATATATTACACGAGGTTAAAAAGGTCTATATCTATATAGATTATAAATTAAAGATAACTGATAGTAGGATATAGTGTACATAGAAAGTCTTACGCAAATACAACGGATGTGTTATTAGGTAAAATGCAGTTTGATTCGAAAGGCCAACAAATTAGTCTTTAGAACCCATTCATAAAATATGATTATATTTTCCAACCAATGAACGAAATGACTAGGTTGTGTGCATCTTTTATCTCCTTGATAATTTTGTATTGAAAATCTGTAAAAAGGGGGTGGGGTATAAACAAACGGGATGGTGTGAGAAAATTTTATAGTATTAGCACATCCTCCAGTTCGTTTGTAAACCGCTCAACCCACCGATGTTAGAAACAAAAAGCATCAAGGATATAAAGATGTGCGAAACTTAGTTATATTATTTATTGATTTGTAATGTGTAGCCTAATTGGACTCCAAGAGGTCCCAATTACTTTGGAATTATTCGCGTTTCAACGCAAACGGATGCTCCCGATGTGAAGAAGCAAACAGACTGCTCGTTGTCAAGTTGATTTTCTAGAAAGATCTATTTCAGATTAAGCTGTGTCGTCTGCGTCCAAAATTTGAAGCATCTAGTATTAATATCTCTAAACCAAACTGAACAAAGAAATAGCATAAACTCTTGGATACATGTGTTCAAAGTGGTTTCAATCCAAAAACTTACAGAAAAATTGAGATTTTCAAAGATTATGAATCACATCACATCTGTTGCTTGAAAATATAGACTGGCCTAAGCATATATAACGACTGTGTTACTAAAGAAACTTCCGTTTGATTTGAAACGTCAACAAGCTGATAATATTTGTGACCCTCTGGTGACAGGTTAGAGTTTATAAATCTCTATGAATGAAATGACTAACTTGTGTGCATTGTTATATCATTGATGCCTTCTGTATTTTTAAAATAAAAATTGGGTATAAACAAACGGGATGGCCTGAGTATACTGTAGTAGCAGATTAAGTTCTTTGGTTTCATTGTCATAGTGTCTGATTTTTCTCAGTCCCCAAAACGAGCCTCGAATGAAACAGAAAGTAATGTTTTATATGTGATAAATGATACTCAATTCAATGGAATGTAGAGATAAATAAGTTCCTTGTCGGTCCTTACAGTGAGATATTTTGTTTGATGTATCTGACATGTAGTTAAGATGTTTATTGTACCAATCATACGTTAGGGTTGTTTGTTAAGTATTACAGAGTGATATGCTATGTATTGGACACTACAGGTAAATAGGCACACCACCATATTTATCAATAATTTGCTTATCGTATTAGATAAATACTATTTAGAACTACAGGCATCCATATTAATTATTTTGTACTAAGGGTAAAATAGTGCATCCTCTATATTATACAGCCTTTTATTACACTGCTAGAAAGTATTCAAAGTTACCCCTCACATAAAATTAATGTATGTTCTCCCATCATAAGAATATTTGAAACTACAGTAAAGTCTGACTAGCTCCTACCATGCGCCGTCTGCAGTTACCAATCTTTCTTGGTTTTTTGCAATTGGGGTAAAGAAGAACTCTTATCGATTTCGGGGCCAAAAGGACATTACGATGAAAGAGTATGCATGTATGAATGGGGATGGATCGATAGATAAACAGATGTATGGATGTTTATCGTGTTTAACGACACGTTAGCAAACAAGTTCTATTATATTATGATGTCACATATATTTATGAACTGATATAAGTAGATGATTCCTGAGAGCTTTCTTTTGTGCGATATCAAAGGGTCCAGTGTCCAAACATTTAAGAACTTCAAACATACAATTGTCAGATCCTTTGAGGAGTAAAGTAGACTCTTTGATCGTTTCCTTGTTTGAGTTAGAGCATGAATTACTATCTTTGGCCAAGTCATACCAAAGACTTACAAAAATGCTACAAACAGCTGCTTTGCTAGGCGCTCAGCGTTAAGAGGTTAGTGATAGAACTAGTCTGTTTGGTGTCAGGATAATGTGACTGGGTGGGACATCAAGCTACATATATGAGGCGTGATGACTCGGTGTAGGAGATCACAATAAGCTGTCTCTCTCCAGACATCGTAGCGATATGACTGCAAAATTGTTAAATCTGCTTTAAATATCCAAATGACACACAGACACACAAACAAACAGACAGACGCACACACTACCTTTGGCAGCAGTCTGCTGCTGTTTTGTTGGATCGGGATTTATCCAGACTCAGTAGGAGAATGTCTTCTGTGGTACACATATTGTCCATCTACTCTAATCGGTACTTTGGTGCTCTTTTCGAGGGTTAGAGTTTGGAGTGTTTTATTTTCTTTTTTTATAGCGAATGCTCTGGCGGCCTTGTGGTCAGAGATTCCCCTCGGATGTATTATTCCATGACATACCAACGACTTAAAAAAAAATTGTGCTAACATCGGCCTCGCAAGGCTCTCAGCATTAACAAATTAGTGTTAGGAATGGTCAGCCTGGTGATGGATAATGTTACTGGTTGGAACATCATGTTACATGTTTGTGCCATTATGTCCTAGTGCTAGACATCACTATAAATTGTTACACTATAGGTATCATAGCGATCTGATTGACACATTGTTAAAGCTTTGTTAAAATTTTAAGTCGGGCACACACAAATACAGACTCAAGCAGACACAGACACAGACTCACATCTTTTTATAGTATTAACTGTCCTAATTTCTAAACTGTTGATTCGTTTATTAGAGAAGCCTACTTCGGTGTCGGTTTTGGTTGCTGTTAGCTTTGCAATAGGTGCCTTTAAGACTAATTTGGCATTATGACCATTCCAATGTATATTAGTAGTAGAGGAAAATGAGGGTTTTGGACCACCACCCCTCCCACACATCCTCCCCCACCCCCGCCAAACCCTCATTTCCCTATACTACTACTTTGTAGACAGGTATTTTGTAACCAGACAAAACAACAGGTGTTGGAATGCGATAAGCTCTGTCAACAGAAGTGACGAATTTGTTAGAA